TAAAAATTTATAATTTTCATGATAATTTTTCATTGAGCTAAAAATATAATGTCACGCGATTAGGAAAAAATTTCCTAGCCCGATGCGGGGCTCTTTGAAAAATTGAGGTCTTGGAACCATTGGCTACCAAGCAAAAAAAATTCCATCTCCGGACGTCATTAGAGAAAACCGTACTTGAGAACTAGCTGGGAACCTTTGAAAATCACTTTTTCTCTAGGAAAAGCTGCCACACAAAATCTTACTCCATTTCTTTTCTTTTCTTTCTCTCTTACTTTCTTTATCTGTATATCTAACAGATTGTCTCTTATTCTCATTCTGTCTTTTTTCTTCTGTCGATAAACGAGAAATTGTCTTTCAATCTGTTTTTCCACTGTTTTGTTTCTTCCTTCTTTTCAAAGGTGTACAAGTGCTGTGTACGAGTGCTGTGTATCCACTGTGTAGATGTTCCTCCGTGTAAATGTAGAAAGTCCCAGCCAGATTAAGAGTCTCGTGCTCTACCGACTGAGCTAACCGGCTGACGAAATGATTATTAAATAGAAATTCACAAGCCTGAAAGTTGTTGCAAATAAAACAACTAGAAGATATATTGAGTTTTTGTAGCGGAGATCAGGAGATCAACAGAGTATAATCAGTAACCTGTTACAATCTGATTGCTCAGATCATTTTCAAATATTCCAAGAATCTATTTTTAAAATTGTTCAAATATCTTAATCATCAACATTTTGTGGTTTGTGATTATCAGTAGTATGCAAAAGACTAGGAACCTTGATCTCAGATAAAATTACATAACACGAAACAGGATTCTTGTTTGCCTAAAACAATAGGGATATAGGTTCATAGAAATTTGTTCAGCTGTCAGAATGCAAGGCTAGATCGTTCAACCTCACAATAGAGCTCTTAAACATGAGTGAGAGTAAAAAAACTTTGCAGAAATCATATTACCTTTTATGATGCTTATCATAATGGGAGTGATTGATAACCAGCGATAAAACAATTCACAAAATGGCTCCTGTGTAACCATTTTTTCAGCAATGAGCGCGGCTTCTTCATTTTCAGAAACTACAACAACCACAAATAATGAGGTTTTCTCTTACTATCTCAGGTTCTGATGAATCAAACTGTTTTATTCTAAGATAGAACTTGTTCAAGAGCACATTACGGTTGAAAACCATGTTTTCCAGTCAGAGATAGAGTTATTGAATGAGAATAAGTTGTATAATAAAGATGTGGTTTGTTTTAGATTACTCTTTCAAAGTCATTTTATGTTTGTAGTTTAATCTTGTGTATATCGCTCTTGTAATTGAGAGCGCGGCTATTTTCCTTGCATGGAATCTCTTGAATTTCCTATCGCCTACGGTAAGAAAAAAATCCGGTAGCTATGAACAAGAAACATGAAATAACTTCTTCAGTATTATTTTAACTTTTGGTTCTCATCTCATTACATCCCTTCCGATTATGCCACTAAGTTCATGGACTCGTTGGGTATGGATGCATGCAGTCCTCTGTTTGCTTTATCCATTTTATGTATTTTACCTTTCATTAAGTTTGTTTTTGCTTGTGAACTTATGGGAGCTATTTTGAATTTCAGTAACTACTTAGTAAGATTATGTGGTTCTCTCTTCGTAAATATAATCAATTTGATGATACTCTTCGTGATATCTTGGGTTCGACAGCCATCCCATTTCGGTTTGTTTCCGTTGTTGCAAGAATCATCAACCACTTCTTCGTTTTTAGAAATGAATTGGTTTTATAATATAACCTTCACGGTCATGCTAATCATGATGGGTTGCAATGGAGTTTTCCAAGTAAACTATTGAATGAAATGGAAATTTTAATGTTTTTTCAAGAGTTCCTTATTAGGAATCGCAAGTGATTTACCTAGAAAATATACGAGTGCTGTAGTCATTGGTACGAACGTTGGTGGAATGATTAGCTCCTTTCTTTACATTTTCACAACTTCTGGTGATTCTTCTAATCTGTTTATCCCTCCCTCTATTAAGACAATACACAAAACATCTCTTGTTCTTATTTCGCATGAGACGACTTTCTGTTTCAGCAAATCCAAAAACACCTAAACCAACAGCTGAAGTCTATTATGGATTCGCCTCTATATATCTCATAATTTGCTTAAACATTTTGATTTTCCTCTGGCGATCGGTATGCTTTGTCTCTTATCTCATATCATCCTCTAACTCATATTCCAGGATTTTGTTCGCTTACATGTGAAGACTGCGAACAACATTCGAAATGAAAAAAAGCTCACGGTTGGTTATTTTCTGGCAGAACTGGGAAAAGTTTTCAAAGATGTAATTGCTACTTCCTATCAGAGCCTTATTTAAATTTTTTTTAAAGGCTTGGAGTGAGTTGTTGGGGATATTCATATTGTTTTTCATGATGTATACCATCTTCCCAACCTTATCTATCGGAATTCAGCCGTGGCCAAGTCCAGGAATCGCTCACCTTAGTTTGTTTCCAATGGCCATATTCAATTTATTGTCTTTTTTTTCAGAAAAGTATTTTATTCCCATCGGAACATTCCTCAATTTCTACACATTTGCGACTGCTGGTGCTATTGCTGCTTGTTTCATTGAAATAGTCAGTTCTTCTAAGCTTATCTCTGAATACTGAGAAGAAAATATATATATTTAGAAACCCAGCAACAGAATTATGAGATTAGCCTTGTTAGGCCCATGTGTTCTCTCGTTGCTGCTTATCCCTTATTTTATGTATTGTAATTTCATTCCCAATTATCCGGAAGTCAGAAAAGCAAAGGTAATTATTGTTTTTTAAGTTTTCTATATCACCAAATTAGGTCCTTTTCAAAAACGAATGGTTTTATTTCATCGCCAATGGCTTTATGGGAGCGTTTATTGGGCTTTTCTCAGGCATTCTCTTACCTCTCTTGCCGAGGTAATACTTCACTTTCCTGCATATCTTCGATTAGCAATGGGAACGGAGTTTTCAAAAAAATCTTTCACTATTCTCAAGCGTAGTTAATTCTATTTTGAGGTGCGTTGAACCAGCTGTATCTCGTTTGGCATCTCAAGTAGGAGCTGCCACTATGATAACAGGTAGAGTTAAACTGAATGAACTTTTCATCTGCATAAACTACCACGATGCTGGTGCTTTCAATGAGAGCAATCCTTAAGCACTTGAGGTTGAAAACCACATTTGTTTAAAGTTTATTCCCATTTTCCAATAAAGGAAGAAGGCATTTTAATCGGGATAATCACAGGGTTTCATTTATTGACATTGAAAAAAAAACAAAATTTTCCTTTTTGTTTCCATGTCAACTTCAATTTCTGAAATCACTTCCTGTTATGATCCTGTTGAAAAGCTTCGTTTGCAATTTATTTTCAAATTATAAACAATAGTTGAGATGATTCAACAAAATAAGCTCTTAAGGACTATACTTTGGTGCAGGAATGTCAGCCGCCTTCATTTCTGCTTTGGAATGAGCAGAGCAGAATAAGACATGAGGAATCAATTTATGAAATTTAATTTTCTGTGAATGTGTAAAATTCAGTTCGACGTTATTTTTCTAAGTTGAAGCCTGAATTGAATGTGCCTTTAATACCGCGCCATCCATCCTTATCGTTGATTGGATGCTGTCGTACAGTTACATTTCGCAATCGAATTTCCTGTTACTTTGCAGTCGTGTAAATTTTGTTTTCAACAAATCCAAATTATCACATCCAAGTAATTTTATATTTTTACTGTTATTCTTTATATGTTTTGATTATCTGATCTATTCGGTAGGATATGGTTTTCCTTCTGAATCATTGCTTCTTCTCTCTATCATATCACGTTGTCATCATGCGACGCCTCTCTTTTCCTCTTCGTCTCTTTTCCTCTCTTCCAGTTCTTCCCATTCTCATTTTGATAGTCAACTTCTTTTCTTTACTCTCATCTATCGGCTCTATTTGCTTTCTTCTCTGTACTCCCAGGTGAAACCTTCGCTAGTTCTCTCGCTCTTTTCAACTCTGCCTATCGCTCACTATATCTCCTCACTATATATTGTTTCTATCGTTTCTAGACTCTACAATACAAAAGCCTCTGCGAAGTTGTAGTTTGTAACATAATTCAGAACTTGTTTGAGCAAGTAAATTATTGATCATGTTCATCTAAACGTTGTTTTTTTATCAACTCTCATAATTAATTGTAAATATGTTCAGAGAGGAGATAGGAGGTTTGGGAAGGTGATGTTCATAAATATTCCAAAATGGACCAGACTTCCTTACTACTTCAAGTTATCACAACATTCTCCTGCTAAATCTTACCTTAATAAACGTTATATCATAATCATTTTATCTGTTTTATTAATATTCTTCTTCGCAACATGTTATTATGATTGGGTAAGCCAACAAGATCACGGTATACTTAATAATCTCTTCTGCTTAGGATGATCCAGAGACTTGGGCATTCAATAGGCGATATCTTAGAACTGATATGTTATTAAAAGATGATTCTTCTAGAAAAAAGTGCGATTAATTGTTAAGAAATATAATTTTTCTCTCATTTCAGAGTTGAAGGACTGGAATGTAGTCGATACCTATTAGGAAATGAAACTGATCTTCATGAATATCGGAACCTTGGTCGATTTGTTTTAGATGTGCTGTCGTTTGCGAATCTAATAATCTTTCATAGAACATGGTTTCTTTCAGATAAAAGATTCCGAAATCAAGAATAGTTGCTCAGATATTAATCGAATTCTAGGAAACAAGAGACGAAACTCTCGACTAACCAATCCGTATGCTGTGAGCAGAGTTGTTTATGAGGTTTGTCTAGTAACGCTCTTAAATTTTTTTCACAAAAACTTTTAGAACTACTACTGGCTCTTAGATCAACTGGAGCAGAACTATTCTCCTCAGAATATATACTGTTTCTCTGTAGATTCGAAGTCTTCCGCTGATTTTTATGGAGCTGTGAAACAACTAGAGAAATGTATTCCGAACGTTTTTGTATCCTCAATTGTACGTTTCCGCTCAAGTTTTTTCCTAAATGATTGTCTTTTTTAGAGATACTCTTATGATTCCAATGGGCATTACATCAACTTCGGTCACTGGGACTGCACTAGGACGATGCTGAGGTTTTCTTCGAACTGGAAGTACGTCCTATGGCTTCAGGTGTTTTCATAAGGAAGCTGTAAAAGGCAAACCATATTGTTTAAGAACTACGACGTCTTTCTAAAGACTAATGAAGAAATAAGTCAGATTATTCGCTTTTTAAACGGCTCTCAATCAGTGGGGTACAAGCAGGCTCATTTGAAAAGGTTTTTCTTCAACTTATTGTTTACAACAGACGAGGTCTTTGAAGATACAATTTTTTGAAAGGATGGACAGCACGTTCGCTGAAATTATGGAAAAACGGTAAGTGTTCATCTTATGTTTGTTAAGTGATTCTTTTTGTTTTGAAGAATCTTCGATATCTCAGAGACAAGCGAATGCCGTTCTCAAAATTTCGCAAATGTACAATGAAGTCTTTCTTTCACGTCAACTAATTGAATATGTCAACTCTAATATGAACCTGATGAATTTGATGGAAGCGTTCGAGCAACCTTTGGTTTGTCGGAACTCTTGGATATAAACGAAAGGTTTTCAGAGGTTTGCTACTGACGAACTATTGTGGGCGACACTCTTGGCTTCTCCTGATTTGGAACTCCCTGGCCAAGTGGAAGGAGGATGTCGTCGACAGGATACTTACATCACTCGGTAAGTTTGTGACGATTGAAACATGATTTTTTTGTTTGCTGCAGCTATAACGAATGGGAGGATTACGTGAAGTGTAAGAGCGCCTACAGTCGTCACGGCACTTGCTTATTTGGGATGGAGTATTTGAAATTGTTTTCTGACCTTCATCAAATAGTAGGTAAGACATCAAACATATTTTGAGAATAAAACTTCTAAAATATATTTAAAGCAAATAAAATAATGCCCCGTTTTGATTATGGCATAGTACTGTGTATGGGCGAGCTGATTCACAATAGAACATATGGTATAGCCGATTCGTCGCCTTCCATGAATATTTATTCAGGAATCTCTCAAGTAAGAACATTCTTCTTTCATTTATCTTTCCTAAATGCACTTTATTCCAGGGATATTGTTGATGAAAGCTTCATCGTCACCAATTTAGGATTAATCAATTTGCTTGTATGGGTATAGTTGTCCGCGTGCTTTCCATATGGTTGCCATGGTTACTTATTCTCTTATTACTCTACGTTTTGCCTTTTCTCATTCATGATCTCTTCTGATTTGTTTTTTTCATGCCATCTAATGTTTCCTCATGTTTTCGTTTTAATAAAAGTTTATTCTTCTGTTTTCTAATACTTTGTTAACAGCACAATGGCCGAGTTGTACGTTTGTGGGCAACTGGAAATCGGATCGGGCTTCAAGAGTAATCGATTATCTTGTGTGTGGTCTCTTGAAATTGGTTTGAAAACTCATAGATTAACTAGATACTAACTTTCATTTATTTTGCAGGTGGAGGTTGGAGAGTAATAGAGGGTCATGCCAATGGTCAAAGTCAAACAGATATACCATCCCTGTTTGAATCAGCATTCTTCTCCCATCCGATTGATCTTCATTTGGCTACAAAGACTATACAAGGTTGATAAGAGCATAATTACCTTCATTTCTAAAATATGAATTCTTACTGTGTAAAACTATCATTCTAGGTTGGCCTAAGTTGAACTTGCAAGTTTGGCATTATGACGAATACAACCGTCAAGAACTGTACGGATATGGTTCGATATTTGTACCCAGTGCTCCTGGAGCTCATACGGTTTTCTATTCTTATTTTGTACTTAATTTCATATTTTTCAGCTCACATGCCCAATATGGAGACCAAAGGGTAGTACGCGAGATGAGTTGATGCAGAACTTCGTTGGTGGAGGGTTACAATTAACGAGTTTGGATATTTTAAGTGATCCGGCAGATCGACCAAAAATAAGTTGTTTGTCCATGGGAGAAGTTCAGATTACCTTATACGTCATCAGCCGTCATTTCGATCGTTTTGGGATTCTAACTTAATTCGTCTTTATTTCATAGAAAAATAAATTTAGTATGCTTTCTTCATCTTCGTTCAAAAACTTGTAAACAATCGAAAGAGGGCAGGAAAGAATTTTTTAAGTCTTTGATTAACCAAAAGACTAATCAAACAAGGTTTTTGTGCCATTTGACAAAAAGAAGTTCGAGTTGAGAATACAAATTGAAAGAGTTTGTATTAAGCTTTAGGCTCTTAATGCTCAATCAAATGCCTCCCAATCAAACAACGTAAGAGAGATTAATCTTTTTTCTTGAATTTGAGTGGAAAACAAGGTTTTCGAGAGACGGAAGAGAAGGTCACAGCTAATAAGGGAACTTCGAACGATGAAAAGTATAGATACTTGAGCGATATTGAGTTAAAGTCATCCAATCACAAGGTTTTCGAGACAGCTGGATAGTGACTTCATGTTCGTTATGCATTAGAGAATCTCAACGAAAGAGAGTTCTTCCAACGCACTGTGCTTTTTATCTTTTATTCTCTCGTTTTCTTCTTTTCTTCAGCTTAATCCTCTCATATTCTTTTCATCTTTACATTGTTACCAAAACTTTCTTGTAGTCTCTTTGTGTGTATTTAGAATGAGTAGATATTGGGTGATAGAAGTGATGGTGCAAATGGCAAACATTTGTTCTTTGAGGAGGGAGGGGAAAAGTTAGAAAGTTGAATTACGAGAGAAAACTTTTATTTGAGAGAATCAAAGAGAAAAATCGTTCTTTCACTTTCTTCAAACATCCTTCATACAATCATTCTTTACGTCGAAGCTACTTGCGAACGGTAGGTTGAACCTTTTTTCGTTTTTAAATTTGATGATTAATGTTGAAACTCGCGAGCTTATGTTTTCTTTCTGTACCCATAATGAGTACTCTCTTTTCTTCTTATTGTGTTCCAGTTTGGGAGGGCTTTCCCACCATCATCTTTTTCCGATTCAACCTTTCGTTTGGGAGTTTTGTTATTTCGGATTTTGAACCCCAAATTTCATGAAAAACTAGAGAAAGCTGAAATGAAAGCCGAATATGGGCAAGCGGCACGGTATTCAATTTCATTTCAACACCAAGTTTCATAAGAGAACAAGCTGTCAATTACCTCCTAAGGTTTTAAGTTATTGATTGAGTTTGTTTGGAAGTTTTCTTTTATTTACTTTATAATTATTAAAAGAGAAAAATTGGGAAAATGAGACAGAGGGAAGGGATTGAAGGTTGAACTAAGTCCAATGAGCGAGAGTGAGAACTGAGTAAAGAATTCAGAAGAAGGTAGAGACTATATAAAGAGAAAGGGAGTAAGAGGAGTAATATTTATCCCTTTCGTCATCGAAAATTCAAAAAACTATTCCATTTCCAAGAGCCTACTAGTGCTTTCATCTCCTTGCTATCTTCCCCTGCACCAAGAGTATTTGCCAATTTTAATATTATTTTAATATGTTATTCTTATTATGACCGTTCTCATAGATTTTTAGCCATAAAATCATGAAATAGATAATTTTTCTGGTAAACTATAAAGATGAAAGGCTTTATGGATCAAATTTTCGAATGATGAACCGGTTAACCGGTTAAAGCCATCATTTCATTATCAAATACAAATATAGTATGGGATGCATGCTATTTTTAATTCTTTTATTTCTGTAACTCTTTTTTCTCCTTTGCTTTCTTTTCTTTTCTCTCCCACTCTCTCTCTCTCTCTCTCTCTCTCTCTCTCTCTCTCTCTCTCTCTCTCTCTCTTTTTTTTTCTTTTTTAAATCTTTTTTTAAAAAGGTTGTGGAGTAGAAAAAAACCTTGATTGCTTTTGAGAATGACCTCACTTTCTCTAGTTTTTTCTCTTACTATCTATCTCTCTCTCTTCATATTTCCAGCTTCGAAAAATGGGATTGAAGCAAGTTTTTGAAATGACGTAAAGGAGGTTTTAAAAGAAGCAAATTACAAAACAAAAGAATGCATATGATATGTGGTTTTGTTTGAAAAACAGAACATCTTTGTTACTTTAATACTTCATTATCGTTTTATAGACTGTTTTGCTTGTTTATTTCGAATAACAAACAAACAAAGTTCGAAGATAGACATAAAACGATAGAGGAAGATGAGCGAGAGAGAACCACCACATACACACCCGCGCATAGGGCAGAATTGAAGTAGGGGGGGGGGGGATAAACCAGGAAACTGTCATCCCTTTCCTTGTTGAATGTGGAAACAGAGAATCAGTTTTAACCCGTTGTACTTTAATAATAATCTGTGTTATTGGAATTGTTTTCAATGATGAATAATCAGTTTTTCTCTCAATATAGAGAGTTCTTAAATGAACTTTCCTTGATAAGATAATGATAATGAATATCATTTGATTGCAATTTTGACATGCAATGAAAGTGTAAAAAACTATTTTTTTTCATTTCTTCGTCATTTGTTAAAATGGAAAAAGCTTGACAAGGGAGTGTTTTTGTTACATTGCGTTGGACGAAAGTTCATTGAGATTCTCCTATTCGATATACAAAACAGCTGAGATTCATCATGGAGTTGTGGTTCTTCTTTTCATTTTTTTTCTGATGGAAAATTAAGATTAAAGTGATTTAAAGACGACATGACAGCCAGCTGTTAATTTTCCTTTTTTTTCATTTCCATTTGCTCCTTCTATACGTGAATAAGATTTGTTGGTGAAAGGATGTAGTTTCAATGTGTACATGAAGAAGCTTCAACTCTCTTTCTCACTTCAAATCATCTGTACATAACTCTGACTGAACAAAGTTAATTTACGACCTTTTTTTGATAATATTTTTTAATTTATGATATTAGCTTGTCAGTTATGACCTGTTGGACATGATGTTTTTCATAGAAAGTGAGTGAGGTTATTATTTGATATCAAGAAAAGGAACAATACTTGTAAGGGATGGAGAAAAGTGAAATCCTTTGTCGAAAATAGTTTCGTGATTATTAGTTTAATGATTAACTCATTTGAAGGGATTTGTAGGCTTTCAGACAGCCAATTGCAATGCTTTGTTTTGAAAGAAAAATGAAAGAGAGGCTGTCGACAATCATGTCTGAAAGATTTGTGTCTATGTATGGACCTCATCTGAAGCTTTTCCATTTCTTTATTAAATTATTTTTTTCACATCAAGTTACTAACAACAGCTTATGGTAGAAAGATTTCTGGGGAGACGTATTGCTGTGCATGAAGCATTGGATTGATTGGTGATATGAAGGCATTAGGAATGTTTTGATGCAATTCTATTGTAAACACGATGAACAAATCACAATAAACACTTGGTGTTACACTTTCGTTATAAAAATTAATTATACGAGATAATGGATGTATGTAGTTTGTTGTCTTGATGTAAACTCGGAAATGGATAAACTGCTATATAAGAGTTATTCAAATCCTTGCATTGCAAGTCTTTTATATTCCCGCAAGAAAAGAAGGACAAATGTTTGTTTTCTTCGTTATCCCTTCAAATCTGTTAATCCAATGTAATTGCATTCTGGAACTCAGATTTTGTTCGAATAAAAGCACATTAAATGGGGCTGGTGGCAATACACCACTACCTCGCTCAATGTCATTCGTATGTAACGGTTTGAACGATGTAGAAAGCGTCTATTGGTTCAATAAGTTATCATTCCACTCGCAGATCGATAAAGGGTTTTCTGTAATTTTAATAAACAGAAGAAAAAGAATGAATTGAACGAATGATAAATGACTTTCTGCAAATGAATTGATGATAAATTACTTTTTTGATGGCGATCCATTTCTTCTTTATTCTCATTCATCATCTATATATATCAATGCTTCATGAGCTTCTTGTATGTTGCTTGAAAAGAAAAAACAAAAAGTCAGCTTATGAGTGTTTTTATCTTTTCTCCCTTTCATCACACAAGAAAAACGAGTAGGAGGCTTAGCAAGAAAAACCTTTTACGAATGGTCAAAGTGCAAAAAAAAAAGAAAGATTCTTGATCATCTATCTTCCGATGACTACAGCTTTCTTTTTTATTTCTCTTGTCTGTACAAATGCCGATATGAGAAGACTGTAAAGCTTTTTGCAGACCATGAGAAAGAGAGCTCATATCGTTTCCTTTTTCCTTTAAATTAAATATTAATCTCATTGATCTCTTCCAACTTGTCTCCTGTTGTTTCGAACGACAGTAACGATGGGAGCGTTGGCGGGTTGGGAAGATTCGACCATTGAAAAAATATTTTTAATATTTACGGTATACTATTCTTGAATTCATTCACAATCTCAAAAGTTTTCTTTTTTTTCGTTTGTGGGAAATAATGGATAGTACGTTCTATAGTTTGTGGGTTGGGCGGTCAATGTAGACATGATCCACTTTGATAGAATCCTCCACAATACACATGATAATCCAAAATAATTCTCTTTTTATTAGAATAAAAAGAAGAAAAAAATTTTGAAATGATGTGTGGCTTCTCGTCTGCAAGGAAAAGAAGTCTTCCTGCCATTTGTTGATAAATTGTAGCAGTTTTGTTGTGGAAATCACGAGGAATCTCCCATATTCATTGATAAGTTAAAAAAGAAAAAAAGAAAAGTAATTTGAAGTTTTTTCGGACGTCGAAACGAATTTTATGGCTTATTAAGAGAGTTTTGTTCATTTTTGCAAAAGAAAGTAATAGAGCTGTTCGGCTGTTGGTGATAAAGGATTATTATCTTTGAAAAAATATTTATCTCCTCGTCTCTCCCTCTTTGTTTCTTTCTGACCCTTTATCTCTCCTTCTCTCTTGTAATGTTATGAGAGTCAAATTACATTTACAAAGAATATATTTGTGAATTGGATTTGTATGACATAATACCGCCTCAGGCGTTTTCTATCATGGATCTATCCGGATTTTGTCATTTATATTGTGACAGATTGCTTAAATCAATTATGGAAATATCTTGTGCTTGCCATAGTTGCAAAACTTTGGAACTTTTCTTTTCATTTATGGAAAAGCTTATAAAAGCTGAGCATAAGATGACAACGTACGGAACGGTTGCATTCAACAAAATGTTTTTTGAAATTCTACTATTGGGGTTAGTATTGGAGGAATACACATTGTAATAGAGGACATATTCAGTACAAAACATAAGTTTCGGTGGACTTTCTAATTCAGTTATTGCGATTATTCGATCGTTTGCTTCTTTGATGTTTCTGTTTCCTTCGTTAATTCTTTGAAAAAGGCTTTTGCCTGTTTGTTACAACTTTTTTTTATTCTCAAACTTGATGTATTTGATTGGAAAAGGAAAATGGAGGAAAATTGAAAATCGACAAACTTCTTCAGTTTAGTTTGAACGAACTTTGTGTTCCTTTTTTTTGCAAAAGTCAACCGACAAGTCCAACTTTGGACCTTTGCTTTTTCTATCCTTCTCTCATTTCTTTACTTTATCTTTCTCTAGCTCTCTGCCTCTTTCTATAACCTATTTTCCCTCTATTCCCATTCCTTCGTTCTTGTTCAATTTTTTGTTTCGCTGTCACTATAACGAAGCAGACAAATTGAGGAAAAGGAAAAATCAAAATTCAATTGTCCCCAGTTTCTTTTTAAACGGAGAACTCGCAGCAGAAGAAGCTTTATTCATAAGTTTACCAATAATTGAAATAATTTCTCACCTGAGATATAGTGTTGATGAATGATTCTTCTACGACTTTCGGAGATGTCAAGAAGAAGTTGGAAATCAAACAAAATGGAAATAAAATGAAAGAACTTTACAAAGTAAATGGACATTTGCAGTAGTGTTTCTCTAACCATAATTGGTCCCTTCTTTCAAATTAAGTGAGAAATTAGCTTGATGCTTCTAACAGATTTTTACTTTGAAATTGTCCTTTAATTGTCCTTTACCCTATTCATTGTCTCTCTTAATCTCTCCGCTCTCTCCTCACTTATATTAACCAAAATTCTTTTTCTTCATTTGTTTTTTGGCTGTTGATCGGGATGATAAGTATAATAATTCACTTTCACAGTCATCTAATATCTCGGAGAGTTTGCTTTCATCTCTTCTTTCCCATTTCATCTTGTTTCATCTGATTCACTCACTCCAGCTTCTCTCTTCCTGCTTTCTCTATTCCTTTGGAACTGCATGACGACGTCGTTTTTGTTCGTTCATCTCACGTCTCCAGCTAATCTAATAATCTCATCGTATGTACTGAGTTTTTCTACTTCGCTGCAATGCTCTGCGAACTACATCAACATGCTCCTATTTGTTAGGCATATGGATAGAGTATTATATACATATAGTTAATAGGATGAATAGAACAAATCTCGGGGCTGCTACATGAATACGGAAGAGTTATTGAAAGAATACAAGTTTATTTTACATGGAAAAGCCGAAAAATATTGTTCTATCCTTTGTCTTCCTATTCCTGATATGTCCTCTCTTTCTTACTAGAGAAGTATAATAAAGAATGAAGTATTTGTTCAAAATCTATCTATTAGAAGTTCCTCCTTGATTTGAACTTCTCTAGAGAGTCTGCTACTTCCGGAACTTCTCGTTTCAGAAGTTGACAGCACTAATGGTTCTGAGACATAAAGCGTTTTTGAAAAATTTCAATTTCAAGTTTTTCAGAACCTTTTTGTTTTTCATAAACTCATTGCTTCGAAATGTTCGATGAATTATTTGGAAAGTAACAGCTAATAGTTTTTCATCTTTGATTATATAACGATGATATCAATGAGTTTCATAACGTATTCCATTACTTCACACATGGTTACTTCGTCAACCATAATTTAAGTAATTACATCTGATTATCATGAAATATAATTATACGTTTTTTTTGTTTTTTTTCTTTTACCATTGTCTCTGAGTTTTGGGTTAACTTCCATGCGATGGTAAACATATGAGAACAAGTAGATTATTATGAAGAACAATACCATGGTGGGACACAGAGATAGAGAGACAGACACAGAGAGAAAGAGAGACAATCTCACGGAGGGAAAATGATGAGTTTTTGTTTTTTTTCCCTCCCAATAAATAGAGTGAAGGATATCATATTGTTCTCACTACTTGATTCGCTTTAGTAAAAGCTTTTTTCTGTGACTTCCTCTGGCTCGAGTCCCTCATTCAAACTCTCATCAATATGCTCTTTTGATTCGCTGCTGTTATAATTCCAATGTTTTTTTATTCTCCATGATGTTTTTATTGATAAAAATGGGGAAAAGTTGAGAGACGTACTTGAAATTCTAAAGAAAAACCATCATGTGGGTCATGGGTATTATATGAAATATAGTTAAACGATGTGAGACTAAGGCGAATGTGTAACTTAATGAGATTATGACATCAATAATCATAGTTGTTTGAGTTTTGGAAGAAGCTGGTGGGATTAAAACCATGTTCTATCACTGTGTGATGGTTCATTCGATATTGCTTCTGTATATTTACTTGATTCATTCAAGTAACCATCCTGATCTGTTCAGTTTGATCTCATCAGAATTTCATCGGGGCTTCTCACGGTCACCCCCTGTTGTCTCCCTTATATGGCCATCGCTCATTTCTTCTGATTGCTATTTCCATCTGTTTTTCCATCAGCAATTCTTCTATCTCATTCACCGTTCTATACTCTTGGAATATTTTTTCGTTTTTTTCATTCATTCCGCAACTCTGCTTTCAACAAGTATATCTTGCTCTTCTTTCTCGTCTCCTAAACTGGTGACGGTTAAGAGATGGAAATCTAGTAAGACGCTACATCCTGATCGTCTTATTGATCTCGAAGTATTTGATAGTTGAGTTCGTTAGAGTAATAGCCTACACCGAAACAAATTTGACTGCTGGCTTCCGCTGTAAGTTGCTAACTATTCAGATTGAAACGAGCACGTTGTCGTTTGCTTTCTCCTCTCTTACTTTTCCATTATTTCTTTCTTTTTTATTCGGTCCGTCATCTAGTCGGTCGTAGATCGTCCAGAATTGCGAACGGCAGGAGACGACTCAACGACGACAAGGACGACAAGCTAGAAGACCGTGGAGGCGTGGCCAACTTGCTAGAAGGGTGACGAGTATGGCTGTTGAAGCACTCTTTCCCTTTCTCTCTATCTATCTCTTCATTTTTGCTTTCATCCTTCTCTCTCTAACAATCTACAACTCTCTATATAGAAATTATTCTCTAACATCTCCTCCTCTTTCTCGTCTTCGCTCTCTCCGCCTCCTAAAATCCCAATTCTCTGCTTCTGCTGCAGCCGGCCGCCGCAGTTGCTGCTCTCACTATCTCTCGGTGTGTGTGTATGTGTGTTGCCTGCTTGTGAGCTTCGTAGCCCATCGAGAGCTACAACAGGTCCGCAATGGCACAACAGTCATCATGACCTTCTATTCTCTAATTGAAATCACTGTATTTCTTATATTTTTATTGCATTTCAAGCAAGCAGAAGCACATAATGTAATAAAAGATGTGCTTACTGATGATACACAGCATCAGGTTAAACCCTCTTATATATTCATACACCATATTCTTATTGTTTGTACTACATACTACCTATCATCAATAACATTCATTCATAAGCTTATATGTAATATAAGCAAATTATCATTATCCAGCTTCTTTTCTTCGTTATTGCTACCTTCAATTCAGCTGGTTCTACCATCGAAGCTCTCGAATTATCAGTTGCGAAAAGTAGCAAAAACGAAATGCTTATATGGAAATTGTTATGAAATAACATCGATACTTGATCATCTATCTACCTGGAGTTATAAATGCTTTCTTAACAATCTGTCAGCTTCACATGGAAGTCGCCACCAAGCTGAAGATGTATGGCTTTCCAACAACACTTTGTTGTCTGACGTCATTAAGCCTATGAGAAGCATGTGCTGCAAGTTTTTAACATCGTCAAGATTATCGATGATGAATGTCAAGTGGTTTTCATTGCGATTAGGCATACTATTAATCCTACCTAATGTCGTATCAACTGATGCTTCATCTCAATTTCACTACTATACATCACCTCGTTTCCCGCTAGATATTGTCGTTGGCTTACCAGTAGATGAAGGGTCAAAGGCACGAAATCCTTTCATGCTCACTATAGCCAAAAGTCAGCCGGTGTTCGACGTTGCAATTGAAGATGTTACAAAACGACACGAGCTTCTGCCAACCGGAGCTTTGCGTGTTACATATGAGAACACTGAACTTTCGGATTCTGTTGGACCGCAACGTGTAGTCGATCATTATTGCAATCGTACAGTTGATGCTGTTATGGGTATCGCTTATGTCTACGCGTTAGCACCTGTAGCAAGAATGTCAACTTTCTGGTACGGAGGAGTCCCCGTATTCACGACAACAGCAATGGTGGACGAGCTTGGAGATCGAAAAAATTTTCCACTTTTAACTCGCATGATGGGCAGTTATCGTACATTAGGTTATTTAGTACGTGAAATAACAAAAACATTCCGATGGCATCATTTTTATTTTTTATTCAATGATGAAGCTGTACATGGCGGTGGAGTTGGTCGTAGTGAATGCTATTTCTCATTGTCGACCATCAAAAATTTGGTTCAGAAAGAGAAAGATATCATATGGAATGTGAAAATGTTCTCCGAATTTACATCAACACGAACTACTTATCGTCAAATGCTGAAAGATGCTAGTCAATTAACAAACTGTAAGCTTTTCCTTTATTATTTTGTATAGTTTACAGCATTATTCCATTTCATTATACTCTATTCATGTTCGTTAGATGTCGGTGTTGAATTTTTTTGCGTTTTTTAAGAATTATCTTTGGACTCTCTTCATCCTATCGTCTACAACAAAATCATCTTTTTTAATTAAAAAATCACTTTTCTCAGCTTATTCGTTTTTCAAAATAACAAAGCTGGTTCATTCGTTTCTTAGACTAGAACTGCGTTGAATTGAGATTAACCTTTGTTCAATTCAGCTTGAACTCTCGAGCATTTATGACATCTTTAGCATAAATCTTCTCATACATTCTCATGCTCAAGCTTCATTGCTACTTTATCCCAAACTTATTGGAAAGATTTAAAAATTCTTAAATCGTGAATGGATTGAAGTAAGCTTTGGGCTATGCAAGTTGAAGCCATTTTTCCTATTCTTACGTATCATTCAACTAGCTTATTCATGGACTTAAACTTCTGAATTCGGCTCATTTCTTTAGCTTTGATTGAAGCTTCTTTTCTTATTTAATGCTATTGCCTCTCGCAATAGAAACAATTGAAGAATAGTATTGTGGTAGATCTTATTGCATATATGCTTGATCCAGAAGCTCATTCTACCGCTTGAAAAAGACGAGCAAGATATTTTGTTTGCTCCAACAAAGAGGAGAAAACATAAGAAAAAAACATGAGCTTGTTTCGTACTGCTGGCAAATAGAACAAAGTTGAAAAAAGAAAAGTTGAACAGACAAATCTCTTTTCGACCTTCTTCTAGCTGAAGATTGTAGTTTTTTCTACTTGCTCACTTCTTCTTTCCACTTCTCCCATTCTGTCCATGCTAGTATGTGTTTGGAGTTTGTCATGTCTGATTTCGAGCTGTTGCTTCTCTTCGTTTTCTTTTTCCCTTCTTTTTACGTGCTTTTTCTGTGTCTTCTGGGAAAAATGAAAGCAAACGGCTTGTCATCTAGTTTGTAACATAGAAGCTTTTAAGCAGAGCACAAAGGGGAACTCGCAAAAGAGGGGGTAAATTAAGCTTCTTGACCCACAAGTGAAATTGGCCTTTTTCGGGGAGCTTCTTGCATTACAATCCATCAGCAAAAAGTAGTTAAATTGTTCGAATTTCATATTTGTCATTTCATACCTTGACGTATAAGTTCAGAAGAGCAGCATTACTAGGTAGAATGTGGATGAGAGAGAAAAGAGAGGAACTGGTTGATATTTCTTCTTTCACTTCCACAATTGTTTGACTATTTTAGATGGTCGTTTCTCAACTTGTTCTTTTCAAACATTGGACATGATTTTGAATGAAAGAAACTTTTTTCAGCCTCAATGAGGTTGATCTGGTGTTCAATTCATAAAATTTTGGAAACGAATTGAACGAAACAGGGGACGTGTGTATAGTTCAGTGAGCCGTGACGAAGAGAAATCAGCTGAAAGCTGCTGATTTCCTTCTTATTCTTTTGGTTCTTTGACTCTATCTCTCTGTTTCTCTTGATATTTATGTGCTACTTTTTGATTCATTTTCTATTACTGGCATCATCCGTCTTCTTGCCCTTTGCTATTCTTATCGTTGCGGTGCTGGACAGCGCCGTGACTTGTCTATATTTTTGTGATGAAATTGTGCCAGCCTCTCGCCGACGGCATCATCAATGGATAAATGAAGCCGGACGACTCAGGCTAGACTAAGATGATGCTGCGAGGGGAAACAGACGAAGAAGATGAAAAAAGGGTTGCGAGCATTGTCTTGAATCCTTTCATTCAGATCATCTTCTCAGCATTTTTTTACTTTGTCAAAACAAAATAGCAAAGCTGTTATGAGTTCAGAATGAATGCACAGAGTAAAGTATCATTGTATCTAAGTTTTTCGCAGAAATAAATTCGAAACTCGAATCTTGACCTTTGACATGGGATGTGCGAGAGATTTCTGTCTATAAATAAAACTATAGGATAAAGATGAATGGAGTAAAAGATTGTCGTCCAAGAAGAATAGTAAGAACGTTGATGATTTGATCGGATGATGTCTTGGTTGAGTAATTTCCTTTTCTCTTCTAAAAGCAACTTGTTTTCTCTTTCAAAGAATTCACTCACTCATCATCAAGGGACATACAAGGCGAAAAGAAGAAGCAAAAGCTTCATCTTCATAGCACATCTTTGATAATTGTGAAACTTTCTCTATCCTGAGTTTCTCAGAAATAGAAAACAGAATGTTAAAGGGCAGCATAGTTATCATCATACGTTCTGAGACTTCAGCAAATGAAGAGATTTCTAGAGGGAAAACAAAAAAAAACTTTTTTTCTTGGAAGAAGCCCTTCTGAGATACAATGTCTTCCTTACACGCGGAACAAAATATGTCAGAATAAGCTCATTTTGTTGGCACATAACTTCTCATAATCTCCACATTGCAAATGGTTTTTTCACATGAATTTTCATGTTTTTTTTCGAAATATTCTTGTTGGAAGAAGAAGAATATCTGAAGATCGAACGTCGAAAACGATATTCTCGCCAAGAGTGAGAAAATGGATAGAAAACAGCAGATAATGTTGAGGAAAGTAGGATGTTTGTAGTTGTGTGGAATGATTGATAACAGAAGTTCAAATGCTATTACCTTTTAATATTTTGATGTTCTTTCAACATGAAAGATGCCGACCTCACAATATCCATGTTTAGTTATTCAGTTCACAAACACAATGCCTACGGGACTAAGTTGATGGAACGCTGTTGAATCTGAATATTCTTTGAGAAAGTGAACGAAGCTGATGATGCTATTTCTTTCTTCCTCTCTCTCTCTCTTATAACGTTACACTATTCTATTATTTTCCTCTTTCTCTCTAAACACCTAAAGTTCCGGCTTCAAAAATTCATTTTATTCTAAAGAGAATGGAATAATTTGTTCTTCAACTTTTTTTTTCTTAGCAAACTCCTTCTGAAGTTCTTACGTGACTATTTCGCATCAAAATTCAGTCATATTATATAGAATTTTCGATTATAATATTGCCCTGAGGCGATAACAAATTGGTACTACTGATAGTCACTTGTTAGATGTGGAAAAATTGAATAAAGAACAGGGCTGCAAGGGGTGAGGTGAAATAGAATCGTTGCAAAATCATTTTCTTCTTTATTGCCGTATGAGTAATCTGAAGTAACGGAAGAAGATCACGTTGAACTACTGACTGCAATCTTACACCTCAAATTAATTTAGTTGACTGCACAGACATTCCATAGCATACAATTCTCAATAACAAATTGAGGTTGTCTCGTCCAGACGAGTGAAGTTAGCTTGAGGGATTCCTGCTTGGCAATCTAGTCATTCTGTGAAAGATAAAGGGGAGAAGGGAGTGCGTGAGACAGTGAAGAAACAGAGGTAACGTTAGAATGGAAACAAACGTTTTCTCTTTTTCTCTTATTCTCTCTTTGATTTGTCATGGATCACCGCTTCTATAACCTGTTAGGTTAGAAGTTGACCAATTAAGTTTATTTTCATTGGGAATTAATGGTTGTCGTACAACTATTCTCCTCTCTCTCTCTCTCGGTCGAAACTGATAGAGAACATAGAGGGCTGAAGAGGACAATAAATTTTAACAAAATTGTAATGAAAAAACTGGCAGACCATTTATGGAGTTTTGCTTCCTCTCTTGCATATAATATTATGCTGCAAATGGAGCGTAATGTGCATCTTCTTCGGCTTCATCTGCACTTTCAAACGTTTTGTGTCAAAATGACGTCGACTGTTTTTACATCTTATCACTCATGTCTTAAGCTCTTGGTTGAGCTTCTCTTCAATTGCTTCTATTTCTCCTGTCCTCCATTACTTCTTTGGTTGTTAAGAAGAGTATCTTCTCAGTGTTTCTCATTTTTGCCACATATTCGGTGCTTCTTATGCTCTCGGGCAGAATATGAGAAAGGAAGTTAGAAGTCAGGTGATGGAACCACTTCTCGGAGTTTGACTGCTTCCTTCCATGTTTGTCCTAACCTTTTAGGAATTTTGAATAAACAGGAGTAATGAAAACATCATTACAAGTTGTTATGATTTTCTAACGCAAAATGAAGAGTTCTGATTAAGAAAAGAAAGACTTCTCAGTTTTAAGGAAGCCAGCTTCATCTCTCACAGGTTATGAGAGATGTGTTGTATCTTCCATCCAATGAAGCTGGTATTCCGGACAAAGAGCAAATTACTAGGAGAGAGAAACGGAAAAAGTTTTTATTGGAAAGGGAAAAGATCAAAAAAAATTGTTTTTCGTTGTTATTGCGATAGCTTTTACTTTTCTTTTTTTCTATTCTTAATTGAACTTTGACAATATCCCTCTCCCTCTCTTACTCGCTCTCTCTTTCTATTTTTCTCTCTTTCTCTCTCTCTCTCTATTTGCTTCACACAAAACTTATGTTGAAGACGGCATTCAAAAGACGATTTCAACCAAAATCTTTCTAACCGAAAACGACGAGAGGGAACATAAGTTTCAAATCGTTTAAGTTAAGCTGTAGTTGAGCCATGAAGAACTGTGTTTCAATAGTTATCCGGGTCCTCGCATTGGAAATTTAACGTCTCAGAGTGAATTGTATCTGATAAGGAAAAAACACATTTTGCTCATTCGGTGTGTAAAAGTGATTTTTCTTCTCTTCACTCCTACATTTCGCTTAGTTTGTGAATTGAATCGGAAGATGAGCAAGAATGGAATGAAAACGAAAAGAAGAAGGGAATATAATTAAGTGAACGACGTCTTCGTCTCTCTTTGACTCTTTTGATTCAAACCTCTTCTCTTCCTTTCTATCCATCTCCTCCTTCCTTCATCTTCTTAAGCTTAAACGTACTCAATGAATGGGAAAGATCCAAGAAATCAGATGATTGCTTTCAATTGGAATCATTTCAATCTTCTTTGCCGGCGTTCATTCCTTCTAACTTACAAATGTTTTGAATGAAGTTAGAACGAAAAAATGTATGAAAGCTTGAGTAACTATAGCCCATTTCAAACATTACCGGCGAGCAAAGAAGAGCATCTGTTGACTAAGAGAAAATAAAACAAATTCTGCTTGAAAATGTGTTTCTTGCCATTTCACTGCACAACAAACTACATTTATTCTTGGTGAAGACGCCAAAGTGATTGTTTTCACAACGACTTTTGTACTTTGAACATCATTCTTTACGAAACAAAGAGAGCTTAATGACAAAATTATTGATAAATGACACTTTTTTCTTCTTTCTTACTGTTGTCCCAGAGGGAACTTCTAAACAAAGGCTTTTGCTGGAATCATCTTGTAGCTTCATATGTACTCAAATCTGGAAAAAATGAGAGAAAATGCCTCAAGTCGCAAGAGTTATCTACACGAGAAACATCCAGAATTGAGAGACAAGTTCATCAGTTTCTTTCCTTTATAGTAATTCCCAATGGACATATTTGGAAATGAAAAATGTTAGTTATGGGTTAAATGACTTGTGGTGACGTTGTTTGAGGGAGAATATTTATTTTTCATTCTAAAATAGAATTGGTCCTGTTATTTGTGAGCTGTGTTGTCCGCACAGCCATCATTTCTCCTTCTTCCCTATTCATATCCCTTACAAAATTTTATTGAACTCTTTCTCATTATTCTCATTTCAGTAATTATACTATGTGCTTCACCGGATACTGTACGAGAAATTATGTTAGCAGCTCACGAGCTAGGTATGGCAACTTCTGGAGATTACGTCTTCATCAACATCGACGTCTCAACTGGGTTTGTCATTTTTTACCTTTTTCCATCGCCTTCTGCATGAAAAATAATGTGCAAATAATGAAGAAAGAGTATAAGTTTTCCTTTTTTAATTAGAAACTTTGGTTGTTTCGCCTTATTGAGAGGACGGAAACGTTTCCGTGATTGGATATGTTTGATTTAACTGAATCTCTAGACATTTCTCCGCACAAACGATAATATATTCTGATCAAACAGGATATTTTTTATGAGTTCCCAGTTAAAATTGTTGATGAAAGTGCTGCCAAAGGATGGAAATGTCGTGATGACGTCAGAATGAGGGAGAGAAAAACTTTTTTTTAGGAAAAAAAGATTAAAAGCAATAGTTTCTTTCATGAATCAAGAGAAACGAACTTCTCGTGAGCCCCAATGGACTCATTCTTGCCTTATTTTTGCGTTACTTTTGAGTCTTTTGCAAGTCAGAAATGTCTTTGTTGCCTAAGGGAATGAGAAACTTCATATTTTAAACCAATTTCACTTTTTTCAATCCAGCATCCGCCCGCTGAAAGTTCACTTTCTCAGTCCTCACTAGATGTTTATGGGGTGAAGGAAACTTCAATGAGCTCTTTTCATGCTTGCTTTGGTTTTTTATAGCTCGGAACTCAAGAATTTCCGACCAATAATCCTGGATGAAAACATTTCAATAGAGCGAGCAAGTTCAGATGAAAAAGTTTCAAAAACAATTGGCGTCAATTATGCTTTTCGTTTAATCTGAATCAAAGTTCAAATAGTTGCGTCTTCAATTTCAATATAGTTGAAATCTTCCTAGAGGAACAAAAGACTTATTTCCTTTTTAAGTTAGATTAAAGAAAGCTCTTTCTTCGAATGAGATGAATCTAGTTTATACTGAACTTTTTCAGATCCCACGCTGAAAGGCCTTGGACAAGGACTAATGAGACGAATTTTGAAGAAAATGAGAAAGCCAAGGAAGCCTATCAAGCTCTCAAAACCATTTCGTTACGAAGGTAAAAACAACGAAAATATTTACCGATGAAGCAGGGGTTACGAGTTCGAGAATTCTATTCATGGAGCAACCGATCTCACTGGAATGAAATAGTACTAGAAGTTTTCAACAGACCCTCCATGTTTCATTTCAGTTGAAGATATATTTAGATCCGGTTGTGTTACGTGCTTTGAATTTCTATTTGTATAATTTTGAAAATAATGATGCAATACTCACGAGTTTAATAATATTCTATGTTTTCCAGAAGTGATCTTGATGAATACAAGAACTTCGAGACACGTGTCAAAGAAAGAGCTGAAAGTAAATATAACTACTCAAGTAAAACTGGTAAAGAATATGAGGTAAAATATTTAAATTATACTGTTAACACTGATAATTTTCTTTGCAGATGAATAACTTTATAAGTGCTTTCTATGATGCTGTTCTACTCTATGCAATAGCTTTAAATGAAACAATTGCTGCCGGTATGGATCCTCGCAATGGACATAACATAACAAGTAAAATGTGGGGAAGAACGTTTGTTGGTGAGTCCAATATTCTTGAAGATAATCTTCTAACAATCGTTCAGGTATAACGGGTAATGTGTCAATTGATTCAAACGGTGATCGTTATTCGGACTATTCTTTGCTAGATTTAGATCAAAAGCTCGGAAAATTTGTGGTATTCATAAGGATCAGTAATTCTCAAACAATCGGACTTTTTAGGAAGTTGCTTACTATTCTGGAGCTAAGAATGAGCTCAAAAAAGTTGGAGATTTTCATTGGGTTGGTGGTAAACCGCCTAGAGATTCTCCTATTTGTGGATACGATAATAGCAAATGTCCGAAAGGTTTTCCACTCCATTATTACTTATTGGCTGGATCGCTGGGAATAATCATGTTCTTACTTATATTCTTCTTGGTATTTTGGAGGTACTCGTTCATACTCTCTTGTCGATGCTCAACTACATGTGTTACAGACGCTATAAGTTAGAGCAGGAGTTGGCAGCCATGTCTTGGAAGATTAGATGGGAAGAACTGGATGGCGAAGATCAGCAAAAGGTACGTTCGATGTTGTCTGTTTTCATATTATTTTCGGTTTAAATGATACCTAAGAAGCATTTCTGAGTTTCAATTTTAAGTTTTTCGCGCACAAACATTCACAATTTCTTTGGGGAAAAATATATATTTGCTGCGAACACTTTTTGATTTAAATGAACAAGAAATTAATATTTTCGATTTATAACGATCAACTCTTGTCTTTCCTTCATGTTTCTGTTAGCTGCACGTCCTTAAAATAGCAGTAGATTCAACTTCAGTGAGATCTTTTTGTTCTTCCTGATTTTCACTTCCGATTTCGATATTCCATGTGGATACCAATTTTCCGATTAATCTTCTTGTAATTTCTACTGATTATATTTGACCAAGTCTAACGCACAAACGCTTTAAGTTATTGTCACTTTTCACTCGCAGAAGTTCCTAATCTCACTGCTCTTCACTTAGACCTTTCCCTTTTGAAATATATTTCTTCCCCTTCATCACCCTGAAGCTCACTGTTTTTCCTTTTGTGGTTGATTTTATTCAATTTTCTTCCTTCCATGGTGCTGCCTTGTGTTTCAGAAAGAAAAACGACGATCGAAGAAATCAAAACGCAACGACGGGAGCTATCCTGAATCTGAAGCCCTACTACGCTCAAATTCGAGATCGAGTGCCAACTCGGACAAGGTTCGTCATCGGAACATTGCTAGTCAGAAGGTCAATAGGCATGAGTCTTTTTTCTCTCTCTTCTTCCTCTAGCTCCTCTTCTACCTTCTCTACATTCTCACTCTGTATCTCTGTTTCTCTGTATCTCTCTCTCTCTCTCTCTCTCTTTCACTTTTCTTTTTTATTTCTTTCTCTCTATCGGCTTACATATGTCTAACTTCTGGAAAAGAAACAAGCTGAACAATCCTGTGAAAGGTCGTTCTTATTTTGTTGTTTTTGATATTTCACCTGGGACAGTATCCCTTTGTTTTCCTGAGAGCTTCTGAATTGTGAAATATGATTATCATAACTCTTTCATAAACGCGATTCTCATCTATCGATCTATTGTGAAGCTGTCTCTTGTAGGATTCCGATGTGTCCTTGAGTGGCCATGTTGTATTTCCAGAGCAAGCTTCTGCAAGATCTGCTATGTAATGTTTGTGAGAAGTTTTGAGTGTTCTGATCAATTACTCGAGTGAAAATGAAGTACAAGATGAATCTTTCTCTCTCCTTTCCTGTTTTCCTTTGTCGCGAACTGTCTCTTGTATTCAATCCAGTGCATCCACCCATATCTAACAGCTTTTGATGGCTTACCATCCTAACTCTTATGACGGCTTCTTACCATTTTCAGTATGAGGACGATATCGTTGGACCGATGCGATTACGTTTGGTATGTTTTCGATTTTCCGCTGCGTTTTGTGCTTTTCATTGTCGACCATATCGACGTTTTATTTTTGCACTGGTTGATCTGAAATTGAGTTCATCACAATAGGTGTCGAGCGCATCTACTGGCACTATTACATTACCTGTGTTATGTTGTTTCTCCGGAGATCCATTCAAATCTTTGGGTGGAAAAATAGTTCAGTCCAGATTTTTCTAGTGCTCAGTTGGCTGGGTCGCTTCTGAAGCTCACTTCTACTAACATTTCCTGTTACCTTACCCTTTTCCCGACAACCATTTCCCTTGTTCTGTTCTCCCACAGCCTGAGCTTTTTTAATCACATCTGAGACGTCTATTACTCATATCACCTTCATTTATGAGCTTTATCTATCTGTCGTGCTATATGTGGTATTCAGAAGTCATAACACTTAAACTGTTTGTTTCTAACCTCAAATGTTTTGGCATCGGTGTTTGTTTGTTTGTTCTTTCTATTAAGTAGAGCGTGAAAATCTCAATTCCATACTGCATCTATCTTCCTTTAGTTATTTCTTTCATATTTTCCGTTCATACCGCGTTTTCAATACTTCACATATATTATTGAAGACAGTTCTAGATTGAAGCTTCTCTTAGTTGTAGCTGAGCTTGTCAAATCAGAGAAAGCGTTTGACTTAGTTTGCCTGCTGATTATCTCTTTTCTTTCCTTTTTTTTCTCAAACAAAAGAGTATTGATTCAAGCCAATGTAGACCAATTAACAAATAGAACATACATACTTATTTAAGAAATATGGGAAATTTGTTTTTATTTTTCCTCATCTTTTCAAAGCTATTTACGGCTTTGTTTCAGCGTTCTTCTAGCTCTGGCGCTACACGAAAAATTTCGGCAATGATTGATAGGAAGCTCAGCATATTCACAAGAAAGAAAAGTTCCCCCAATAGTGATAAAAATGGTGGAATAGGATCCAATCATGTGGACACTCTTAGAGAAGTTGAAGTAAAACAAAGGCTCTTGATAAATTTACTAAATGAATTTGTTTTGTAGGATGGTGAATGCGCCCCTCTTAATAATGAAGTTCATTTCCGTCTTCCCTCAATTGGAGAAGGCAACCGTCGTATCAGTTCTCCAACTGCTTTATCTGAACATCGTCAGAAACTAAGCCAAGAGGAGGATAATGATTTGGCTGCTAAGAAGAGCATATCTTTGAAGAATCGAAAATTATCTTTTGGTGCTATGTCCTTCAGAGTATGTTGTATACCTCTTGCTAATCTATATTCATTTCTACAGAGTGGCGGATCTGCAGAAACTATAGCTCAAAATAATGGACAAATTTATACTAAAACGGCTGTTTATAAAGGGACTATGGTTGCCATTAAGAAACTGAACGTGGATCAAAAGAAATATCCAAAACTTGATCTAAGCCGTGTTCAGCTGATGGAATTGAAAAAGATGAAAGATTTACAACATGATCATATCACTAGGTAACTATTACGAAATGAGTAACTACGATCATTTATCTCTTTTCAGGTTCACGGGTGCCTGTTTGGATTCTCCTCATTATTGTATAGTGACAGAATATTGTCCCAAAGGTTCATTAGAAGATATTCTGGAAAATGAAAAAATCGAATTGGATCAAATGATGAGATATTCACTGCTCCACGATCTCGTTAAGGTATTTGATCAACATAAAGCTTATAATAGCTTTCAATTGAATTAATTTAAGGGTATGTACTTCTTGCATAACAGTGAAATCAGATCCCATGGCCGATTAAAATCTTCCAATTGTGTAGTTGATAGTCGTTTTGTGCTTAAAGTATGTTTTAACCTTTCACTGATCAGCATTATGAAACCATCATTTTCAGGTCACAGATTTTGGTTTGCATAATTTACATTCACTTGAACTGGATCCAACTATCGAGGAGTTAGGAGAGCATGCTTATTACAAAAGTATGTTAAAATGTTTTATGTGGTGTTACCAATTCTTATAGGGATGCTCTGGACTTCTCCTGAGCTGCTCCGAGATTCTGTGCCCCCACCTATGGGCACACAGAAAGGAGATGTCTATTCCTTTGCCATAATTTTACATGAAATGTTGTGGAGGAGAGGTGTCTTCTGGAGTCAAAATGATGATCTAACTCCGAAAGGTAAGGTATATCTACATATATGGGAATCAGGGTACTGAAATAGTACTTTTTGCTTCATTAATTTGTTTTTTTCTCATATGTATAATTTATATATATGTTTTCCAGATATTGTAACGTTGGTTAAGAAGCCTGTAATCACAGACGAAGAGTCCTTCCGTCCATACACTCCTGAGACTCCTGAAGAAGATGAAGATTTGAAAGGAAAGGAATTGAAGGTAGTGCCGTGTTGTTCTTGATTATTTAAGCCGGCCATTAACTTATAGTCTCAAACATTGATTGATTTGATGAATATTTGCTGGTCAGAAGATCCTCATGAAAGACCAGAAATGTCGTTCATTCGAAAAGTAGTGCGCGGATTGAATCGTGACAATGAAACTGCTAACTTGGTGGATAACTTGCTCAAACGTATGGAACAATACGCGAATAATCTCGAAGGTCTCGTCGAGGAGAGAACTCAAGAATACTTGGCTGAAAAGAAGAAAGTGGAAGACTTGCTTCACCAGCTCTTACCACCTAGCGTTGCAGATCAGGTGATAAACAATATCTGAGATCATTTTTCATTTATTTTTTTTAGCTTATCGCTGGTAGAGCTGTTCAAGCTGAATCGTATGACCAAGTTACAATTTATTTCTCTGATATTGTTGGTTTCACTGCTTTATCATCACAATCAACTCCCCTACAAGTCGTCACATTGTTGAACGACTTATATCTTGCATTTGATGGTGTTGTCGATAATTTCAAAGTTTACAAAGTAGAAACCATCGGTAATTATCTTTAACATGATATATTTGTATATGAATCAATTGTAGGTGATGCTTATATGGTTGTATCAGGGTTACCTGAGAGACGAGAAGATCATGCGTCGCAAATCGCTCAAATGAGTTTGGCTTTATTGCATAAAGTTAAGAACTTCGTAATACGTCATCGTCCTCAAGAGCAGTTGAAGTTGCGTATTGGAATGCATTCGGGTATTTTCTATTAGATGTTATCATATTTTAAGCCGACTACTTTAGGTTCCGTTGTTTCGGGAGTGGTTGGCTCCAAGATGCCACGATATTGTCTATTTGGAGATACGGTTAACACATCAAGTAGAATGGAAAGTAATGGATTACGTGAGTAATTCATCATATAACTATTAAATAATCTTTTCATTCAGCACTGAGAATACATGTATCCAGATACACCTATGATATCCTCACACGTGATCCTGGCTTCCGATTAGATTTGCGTGGTGATGTCGAGATGAAAGGCAAAGGCAAAATGACAACGTATTGGCTTAAAGGTTATCGCGACATTGAAATTCCGGACTTCGGTCCTGAGTTCCGCGATTAATTACGGCTATGAAATCTTACACGGAGATTTTCGGTTTCCCTCAGTTTTACACATGTTAGAATTAATGAAGCTCTCCCTAAATTAGAAACCATCACGGTTACAATAATTCATTTTTTCTTTCTCTCAAGTCCTTTTAGTTTACTCGACTATGTTTATTAGTTTCTTTCGCTCTTTCTTTTTCTATTACTTTCTCCTCTACAGTTGTTGTAATTAACATCTTGTGTTCCTTTATTGTCTGCCTCAACTATGATATATCTTTGGGTCTACGAACCGGTCATTTTCTTCCCGTGTCTGATATCTCCTGTGCTACCGATACCAACTAGTTAAGCTCCTATATTCTTAATTTTAGACATTCTTATCTCCTATCCTCTCCAAGTCATCTCATTGTTTTCGCTCTTTTTTTTTCGGTAGGAAGAACTGATTTAACATGCGAGAGAAGAACTCACCCCTTTCCTCAACACCATCTTCTCCACCACTCTCTTTTCTTCTATTCTTTAAAGTTATTCCAATACGTTTTACATCTACCACCTCTCTACCCCACCCCCACCTCTTCCAACCTCTGCCCCAAAGCGAAACTCGTTAGATGACGCTTGCTTGTTAAAGCTCAAGCGCTCTCGCTACTCCTATGCCAATTTGCCACCACGTTAAACGGGAAAATTTTAAGAATTCTTTTCTCAAAAGATTCGGAAATTTTTTGTAAAACTTTGTCTTTTGAAGATGCGAACTGTCAATGCTAGGCACGTCGTTCGGCTTGAGCCGTTTTATTATATTTTTTTTATGTCTGTCGAGTTATCCTATCTCAGGTTTTGAGTGGAGTACTTATATACATATTTATTAAAAATTATATTTATATTAGAGAGCGCTATTATGTATTGTCTAGAACTTAACTTTCGTTGTTATTTGAACATTTGATGGAGACTAGAGCTATTTTATATTACT